ATATTGGACACACGATCCTGGGGGTATGCATGCAGGAATGCAGGCATGCATGCATGAATGGGCAATGGGTGCATGTGCTATGCATGTGTTTGGTCCTGGCTCGGGGCCAGAGCTGCCAGAGATGACAGCACTTGGCTGATGTCTTTGTCCTGCACTAGGCAGGAACAAAAGATCGTTAAAACATCATGCGTGAATGACATGCGTGTATGAATGCGCATGCATGGTTTCGGCTTCATTTAAAAAATAATATCCACCAGCCAGCCTCCTCTAGTCGGCGTAGCGTTCCCTCAGAAACCTGCCAGTAAGCAAAATCATGCATGATGCATAATGGGGTTTCCTTGGCTGTAGCTGCGCCTGCTGCGTGCGAAACAGTTCTTGCCACGCTCCAGGACTGTTCTTGGCAACAGGTTTTCACTCACGCAAAGTCAAGCATGCGTGCAATAGCAAACATGATGAGGCCCTGACTGCGTCAAGAGGTCGCCTGAAAGTGACAGTCTTCCTGACTTTCACGCCACCAAAGTCTGCCTGACCGAGCAGCCACAAAGAAAAAACAGGCACGCACACAGTGCTCTAATCATGCATGGACCACCTCCACTGTTTGAGATGCTTCTTCCATGTCCTGGCCACTTGCCAAGAATCAAAAAATGTTCCAACTGTTCGATTCCAACACCGCTTTTAGCCCCTGGCCTGCTAGGACCGAGTAGCAACTTCAACTTACGTACATATGCATGGTCATGCATGCATTGAGCCCACAGTGCTGCATCAGGAGTCCATGAAATCAATTATCAAGAAACACGATTGGAAGATGAAATGCATGCAGACGACATCACATCGATGGGGGGAGCGCACTTGGCAACTTAAAGGTCCAGCCCACCAGCTTGAACCAAGGTACCTGGCCAAAGCAAGCTAGCACACAACAAAAACAACAGGCTATGCTATGCGTGATTTTTTGTTCAGATATCATGCATGCATGCATGTGTTTTGTTTTGCTCAGCCGTCCTCATGCGTGATGTAAAGGCCGTGTGGAGTTCACACGAATCATTTTTTTGCGTTCAGCACAAGTGTTTGCACTTGTGCCGGTTGCCCCTTCGCAGCTACATGAATTTTAATGCATGCTGCAGCTGTACGTAGATGCTCGGGCTACACCCCTAGCACACACACATGCCACACAGGCTCAGGCCAATCCGCATGGCTCACCATGACCACACCTATCCAAACATATCATGCATGCATGTGTGCAGGGTTTGGCTGCATGGATGGGACGTGGATAATATGAAAGATTGCACTGGACCCCGGCCTTGCTATTTGCACTCGCCATATGCCTGCATGACATGCATGCATATTGCTTTGGGTTAACGAAAGTTTTTTATTTCCCGGCCTTCCTAGCCGCTTCCTTTGCAGATTCTTCATCCATGCCCTCCTTTCTGGCTGCAACCCTTGCACGCTGGTAGGCAACACTCTTTCTCTTCAACAGTTCGTACTCCTCCGTTGCCGCTTTCTTGGTTCTCTTTGCCGCCTTTGCCTTCGCTTTTGGTGCAGTTTTTTTTCTGCTAGGTGCTGCTTCTGCGACCTCTGCTTCTTCAGTTTTCTCAGCTTGCTTCCCACGTTTGCTCTTCCCATTTTCCGACTTCTTGGCTTTTCCCTTAGCCGCAGCCTTCGCCTTCGCCTTGGGGGCTGCTTTTGCTTTTCCTGCCCGCCTGGGTGGTGGCAAAGGAGCACTTGGCAAAGCATCTTCATCTTCTTGGGCTGAATCCCCACCATCTTCTTTACCATCGTCATCACCTTCATCTTCATCCTCTGCAGCTTGACCCCTTCTTTTTTTTTCGGGGGGTGGAAGGCATGGCGCTGCCAGCAAACGCCTGATGTCTTCAGGAACCTGGCGCAAATATGGGGCCAAACTGAAAAGAGAGAGAGAGAGAGAGACAGAGAGTAGCTTATGGATGAACATGCATGGATATATATATATATAAATATATAAATATATATATATATCTATTATAATTTATTTATTGATTTTATATATATATATATTATTATATAGTTTTCTTGATCATATACATGGATGGAAACAGCTAGTCTTGATTCAAACTAGACAAGGTAACCTCGTCCTCTTCCATCGGGGAACGGGACTCTCCCGAAGACTTTGGGGCCTCTTCGGCTTCCACCGGGGCGTGTTCAGGGTCAACCTCTGAGGTCTCTCCCATCCCCATCAGAGTCTCTGGTGGCAGGGTCTCTTCAAACATAGGCTGCGTCTCCATTTCTTCCGGACCTGGGAAGACGAAAACGGCCATGTAAGTGGTTAGATAATGATCCTATTATTTGCATGTTGTGCGTGCTTGTTTTTTTCCAAGGTATACTGAGTTCATAACTTTGAAGAGGCTTTGAAGGCAGAACGTCGGCAGGTCGATTTTTTGTCACTTCCGGGACAGGAGCATCAACAGTGCTTCGAGGGATCTCATGCATGGAGGGCTCATCACTCGTGCATGGTGCTTCATGCATGATGCTGGGGTGATGAGACATCCTCATCAACTCAACGGTCCTCAGCCTTTTTTCCAAAAGACTTTCTAGTTCTGCCAACTCCTTCATCAAGTCTTTCTTCATTGCCACTTGTCGATCAAACTCCAAAGTTCTTACCACTTTCTCAGTGCTTGGCAAATCATGTGGAATTGCGCCTCGGCAAACGCAGTTAATAACATGCATGCGTTGGACACATTTTTTTGCAAGCAGGGCACAGGCTCTCGTAGGAGTCGGTGTCTTCAGAATGGTGCCTGCGTGGCTTCAAGACGTTTTTATGAAAAGATCGTGCTTTGAAAAACATGATTTTTTCTCATCTGAATGCGTGCATGTTGGGCCTGAGTTGGCAGGGCTGATGGAATCCACAGCTTCCTCTTTTTTCTTCAGGTTCATGCATGCTTCCTTCTCCTCAACACTCCTGCTACTTCCCAAGTCTTCCTTATGTTCTTCCTTTTCATCAAGTTCCTGGATTCCAGAAGTTATAACGACATGCATGTAACTGCAACAAGTCGATTCTTTAAGGGCCCAACAGAGTCCGAAGAACTTGAAGAGTTGTCGACTCCACCAGACTCGTCATCACTGGAACACTCAGCATCCTCATGCGATCCTGCGTGCAGATATCTTTTCCTTTTAACATGCATGCATGTCAACATGTGTGAACTCCTGGGAGGTTCATGCCAGCCCACCGGTAAACATCCCGCATCTCTGCGTCTCGTGGCACATGCGGTCTCCTTAGCCATGCTGGGTTTACACTAAACATGCGTGCAATGGCAAACAAAAGCCCGCAAAGCTAACCTTAACAATGCTAACATATTTAAGTGCATGAATGTATCTTGGCAATGCGTGAAAACTTGTACATCAGCTTCTTGATGACTCTGGACTGCATCTTGTGCTTCGTACCTTAGAAACATGTTTCTCTGCATGCATGCATGGAAGACACCACATCGAAAAAAAAGTGCGTGATAGAAGCCAAGGGGCTGCAAATCTCTTGCCCCCGAGGTAAACACAAGGAAAGAAATTGGTACACAGCTTGTTCCAGCATCCCTTGACTAGCACGCATGCCAAGTTTGGACACTGCGATGCCAACTGCAACGCCATTCCGGGTGATATCACCTTGGCCCATGCATGATTGGACATAAAAACGTTTTGGAAATACACGGCTGAAAAATCACACTACATGCGTGCAAGTGTCTTCTAGAAAGCTGCCTGGATTTGATGACACACAGGCTATGTTTTGCGCCCAAAGCTCTAAGGTCCTCATTGTTGGCCCATGCCGTGGCAAGCACTGTGGCCTGCTCAAAAAACGCCATATCAACCCCAAATGGCTTTGACTAGCAGCAGGTCAGCCAAAAACTGCGCACAACATATGTGGATGTGCAAAAGTCATTGCATGGCAAAGTTTCAACTACGTGCGTGCATGCATGAAGATGCATGACAGAGTGCATGCATGAAGACATTTGACAGGTCGGGAGGTCACTGTGCATCAAAGAACCTGCGCACACATCACGATATAGGAATGCATGTGTTCATCCTGATGCCATACCCTGCTACATGCATGTCACCCCAGCCTTCCCAAGTACATGGCCATAGGCACTACTCGTCACTCCAGCCATCCATCTAACACCTCCCAACATGATACCATGCACAGGTATATATATATATATATACAAGTTCATGATCATTTCAACGAACCACACCTGCCTTGCTGAGTGGGTAGCTGCATCTTCTCACTTGCGGGCCACTAGCAAAGCAAAATGCTGCCGGGGAGTGGGCATTATGAGAGGTAACATGCATGAACATACATATCGTGAACATTTTACTACAGAATATTCAAACCAACATTTTATGGAAAAAAAGTGCTCGTTTGAAAAAACTGCTCGATTTTAGGGGGCTCCCCAAATAGCGCTCGACTTTACAAAAAGTGTATCGAACGAAGCATTGTACACTTTTACAAAAAGTTCTGTCGAACGAAGCATTGTACACTTTTTTCTGTACCAAACGGAAGTTCAGGAAATGGAAACACATGGTAATCTGGAACGTTAATCGCATGGTTCCGCCATTGCGCCATCGAAGGCGTTGTTGGATGCCATTGCTGATCGGGCTTTGGCCAAATTGCTAGGGGCCCAGCAAGTTGTTGGTGTATGTTGGTGTCAAGGTGGCAGATTTAATAGGAAACCTGATTCAATCTCACCAGAATTGGATTGTATGAACCAGCACCGATTCGGGGTGCGGCTGCAGCATTGGTCTTATTTTATCTTATTTTTGGGATGCGGTTATCTTTCCATGATAAATGATTTTGGTCAATGGGGTGCTTTTAAACTTAAACCTATCACGGCTTTGATCACCCTTTGGATTTAGCTTGAGAGCCGGGATCAATTCCCGACCAATTCATCGGCCCATGGCGGAAAGGTCTGAGTTTGGTTCACAAGATCTCTCCATCACTGTCTGGTCTTTCGCCAAGCATCGCCCTTAGTCCTTAGAGTGCCATGGCTGGACTGTGGCTGATGCATGGTGATGGTGATGACATCCGTCAGTGCGGATGTGGACGATCGTTGGGAAAACATGATTCCCCGATGCTGAACTCGAATTGCCTCTAAGAGTTCCTTCAAGTCATGTAAATAGTTCCTGCAGTTGTACCCGCCGGAACTGACATGGCTACGGAAATTACCATCTTTCATCAGTGAATCACTGAAACACCTACAAAACGGTCGATGTTCCATACCAAAGTGCAACAAATTACCAGATGGTACCCCAAAAACAAAGCCTTTTTATCCCATTCTTATCTCATTATATAGCCAGTATTTTCCGCCATTTGAAGGTTAGCGCATGGCGATGGACATTTCTTCGAAGCCTTGGGGGATGCTTCCGTGGTCTGGGAAGCCCGGGGCACCGCTGGGGCCGAAAGGTGGGATTTGACGAGTGATTGCAGCATGATGTATGGTGATTTAACCAACAACATCCAACAACAATGGATAACAATGGTGGTTTGTAGCATATATAAATAATATATATATACAGTATATACAATTATATATATATTATATATAATTATATATATATACTGAGAATATCACGGTGATTTGTAGGGGATTAACTAAGAATGGGGATTTACGGGATTTACCCTGGGGTAAACATAGAAAACGATGTGGAAAACCGATGGTTTTCCCTGCGAAAATGATCTACACATGGTAGCTTTTCCGCACCTAATTATATATGTTAGTTTACCGGAGAGCAATGAGCAAACATTGGTATAACCAGCAAAAATTGAAAACTTAATTGGCAAAAATTGAGATTCTACTTCAAACATGGGGATTCAACTTTGAAGGAGTTGCATCTACTGTAACCATCGATTGGGATTTAGCAATCAAAAAAGGTGGATAGCACGAATGCAACTGGCCGGTGCTTTCAGACAGTTCTTATTTTCCATCCAACACATGGGACAATTATCCCCAAAA